TAGGGGAGGGGAGGGGAGGGGAGGAAACAGACTCTAGTCCAGGCACCATGAGAGTGTCTATGACCGAGGCTTTAAGATGTGCTATATTCAGGGGCTGCAATTCCACATTCAGCTGGAAATAGTTTATCTCCCAATAGAAAAGGAGGCTCAGGATGAGGTGTGGGGAGTGTGCAGAGAATACGATAAAAAAGTACATGAAGGCTTTGGAGGCTGCTGACAGAAGAAAAGCAGCTCAAATGCAGCCTGGATCTCTTTCTCTGTGGAAGGAGAAACAGCTCCGCAGAGAGGAAGGAACAGGCCATGTCAGGCAGCCCTAGAGGCCCCCGATACTCGATTCACAATGCTCCCAGAAAAGACTCCTTATTTAAATGACTAGCAGATGGCTTGTCTCGTCTCCCTTCTGACTTCAGAGGGATCAGAGGCACAACCTGCAGCCAAGGATTGCTTCTCAAGAGCCCAAGCTCTACAGGCACGACCCCCTGCTAGGCAGTTCTCCAGAACAGGGGCTGAGAACTAGGAGAGAATTCCCTTGGCTTCTCAGGACCTCTCTCTGAGGTTTGCAACAGCATGCCTTCTCCTGTGTGGTACTCTGGGTGTTTAAATTCCAAGTGAGGTTTAGGTTCAGTTGGGTCTGAGATTCTGCCCCTTCCAAAGAGTTGATTTTGCCTTTGTTCTTTTGTTTATAGTCCCTGGACAATCAACAGTTCCTGAAAGTTACGGGCCTCCTGGATGCAGAAGAGAGGAAATTTTAGGACAGTTCCTTAATGTCAGGCCTTCAAAGCCCCTTCCAAGTCTAAGGGGGAGACCATTCAGAGTGAGCCAGGCTGCTGAAGACATGAATGCCCCCCTTAGCCTAGCTGGTCCCCTGCCTCGGCGGTGTTTATGCTGGTCCTGCACGGGGAGGTGAGGCGTGGAGGGGTGGGGACACCACCCAGGGGGACATTTGCAGGAATAGGGCGGAATGCCTGCTCTCCGTTTCCTTTCCTCATCAGTAGGCTGAGGTCTGAATTTGGGAATTCATTCTTTAACTCCAGGTTTCGTTAACTAGGTGAAAGGAGAACTATATGGTGACACTTCTCCTCCTTCTTCTCCTGTTGCTCTTTCTTTTTATTGACAAATATTTCTGGAGAACCTCCTGTGTCCATGGCTGTGTTTTCAGAGCTGGGGACTCAACAGCGAATGAAGGAAATGGACTCTGCTGTGGGGAAGCTGACGTTCCCTCTGGGGAGTGAGGTTAACAGGAAAGCAAAGGGGGCTTCAGTCCTCAGCGGATGAAGAAGCAGCCATTATCCAGGGCAGATACAGCCATGAGGTGGCCAGGTTTAGGAGTAGAGGCCCCAGGAGGCCATACTGGAATTGATATGGATAAAAGCGACAATGACTGCCCTGAAACTGCGTGGGGGAAGACACTTCTGCTTGTCAGAACGGAAATCCCTGAAACGGGGTGGCGTCTGGCTTTTAACACAGATCACCCAGGCCAGCTGAGCCCTGTTTCCAGCTGGCTGCCTCTTCCACATCACCGAACACCATTCTTGGATCTTGATTGAACATTCTTGTTTCAGCAAGTCTGAGTGTTATTTCAGCCAAAAGCTCCCTTTCAGGGGCAATTTATCTCAAAAAGCAAAAGCAGGCAAACAAACAAACAAAAGCCCTTCTTGAGTCCGGGGTTAGTTGACTAAATGTTTGTTTCCTTTTCTTTCGCCATTCTTGATCCACGCAGGATACTGCAGCCTTAGAGTTGAGCCTTCTGTCTGGCTCATTGCTCCTGGTAGCCACGGGAAAGGAAAGCGAATTGGTAGAAAGCGCCTCCTCCAGGCAGCTACAGAGTGAGCGACAGCAGTGGTGGGGCGGGGACCACACCCCGGTGCCCTCTGATCCAGTGCTGTTTCTCCTCTTGCCCACCATATTGTGCCACCTTTAGTCCAAGAATATTTTATATTCCTGGAGAATAACAATAATAGCTCATATTACCTCAGAATTTAGATTTCCTCTTGCAATGTTGTTCTGTTCTTCTCTGAGGACATTTTCTGAGAAGGGAAACTCTCTGTAGGTTTCTTTTTTTTTTCTTTTAAACTAAATATTATGTTTTGCTCTATGCCAGGATCTGTGCTAAAGGCTTTACCCTTGGTATTTCACTTAACTCTCACAGGCCCCCTTTGTAAGACATTGCTGTTAGAGTCATTCTTACTGAAAGACTGAGAAAATCAACTTCAGAAAGACTGAAAAACTTATCCAAGGTCACACAGCTAGGGAATGGTGGAGCTGGGCTGAAAACCCGGTGCCTGTAGATTCACTCTCCGTGGCTACCATCACCTACCATAGCAGACTGTTCCAATTGCAGCTTCTGTCCCTCAGACTCAGGGAGCCTCTGTCTTTGACCATTCTGTTTCTTTCCACACCTCCATTGTGGGCCTTCTTGGGAGGTTCCTGACACATGGGCTGGCACGCTTGCCATCGGCTAACTTTGGCATCCGGGCTACAGGTGAGGCAATGCTGAACGAAGGCTAGACCCAAAGCTGTGCCCTAGCCAGAGCCCCTGGATGTGAGCTCGCTGTTCAACAGCAGCACTGTGCTTTGTCTGGTGGCTGCCTGAGACAATCAAGCTTTTTCTCCTGGAGATCAGGAAGGTAGGGTTACAGCATAGAACAGGGCATAAAATCATAGGTGGCAGCAGCAACTGCCTAGTGTTGATGGACATAGGAGCTAATCAAGTCGCTACAGTGAATGAAAATCATTCCAGTGACTGAGCGATATTCAGACCTCCGTGGGGTTTGGTGGTGGTTTATTACCTTCCTTATGTCTCTGCGAATTCTCAAAATACACTTCTACTTGTGGGAATATACCATACACCTTGAGAATATTATGTCTGATTGTAGAGTACAACACCCTTCTTGTACAGCTGGAGAGCCTACAGCCAGGGAAGAGAAAGGTCACCAGGAAGTGCATCCCAGTGGGGTGACAGTGGAGGCTGCCCTCCAGGGCTGGGCTTTTACCAGCCTGTCATAGAGCTACCCATTCTCCAGCTGTACCTGCCACAATTTCCTCTGAAATTTCTTTACACTTGGCTTCACCATTTTTTCTTTCTGGTGTTTGCTATATCCCAAGTACAGCTCTAACTAAAGCATTTCACAAATATTATCTGACTTAATCATTATCCCCAGTGAAGAAACAGGTATATATTGTGACTTTGTTTATTAGTAGAAGAGAAGGAATCTGCATCCCAGTCTAGGTGCTGATGGCTTCTCCACTCTGCTTATAACACCGAGGAGCTGGCAGCCTCGGAGAGGGCTGCCGAGCTGCTCCCATTGTCCAGCCAGGAGAGAAAGGAATAAGTAGCAACAATCATACAACCATTAACCGATACAGTTGGGACCAGAATCTAAGCCTTCCTTGTAACTGGGGCCTCGCTGTTATTCTTCAGCACTTCATGTAACCTCTGAAAACCTTCTGACAGCTCACATTCATTGCTTTGTATGAAATCACCCCAGAGAGCTTAGCAGTGATCAGTAAATCTGGGTGTGTAGAGGGGCTGGATCTACGTGCAGCAAGCTTGGTGGGCCTGTCTATTTCTGTGGTGGAGTAGCATTCTGGGGCAACACATTGAGTGGCAGTCAGATCCTAGAGTTCCAGTGAAGTGACACCCACAAGTGGAGAATCTGGGTCCACAGACAAGCAGAGCCTTCTCCACAGCCACTCAGTGAGTGCTGACTCAGAAGACTCTGGAGCCCAAACACAAGGCCCGGATGTTTCCTGCACTGCTCTTTCTTTCCAACATACAAGGTGTGATCGAAAGCTACAGGGAACATTCACAGTGGAAAAAATTTATTCCGGTAAATTTAGTACATGTTGCCATCAATCCTTTTCAGAACATCCCCCACCACTGTGTTTTGAAACTGTTCTAGAAGTCTCCTTTCTTGAGTGTCTTTAGTCGTGCTGTATCATGGTTGCTATAGTGTCCTGAATCAATTCAAAATGTTTACCTTTCATGGTCATTTTGACTTTGAGGAAGAGCTCGATGTTGCACCATGCCAGACCTGGTGAGTAAGGTGAGTGAGGACACACCATAATGTTTTTTCAAGGCTTCTTTTCTACTGGATGACACTCAACAGCAGCATTCACCATTTATTTTGATTACACCTCATGTAAGTTACCTCCTACTCAAGTTTAATCAGTAAAATGCTATGACACACAGTGATGCCACTGCCGTTTTTATCTCACTTTGCCAGTGGTGAAGTTGTAAGTTATCACTCAAAATTCCAAGAGCCTAGAGAAGAGAAGCATTGGCGATTTTCACAGTAAGCTCCAAAGAATCCCAATGTTTCCTGTTTGGTACTTTTAAAATTTAGAAAATAGTGACGTCTTCACCACCAAGAATAAAGATTCACATTGACTAAAAAATGTGTTTATTGCTCATTTACACAAGATATTTCATTTTTTATTTTTATTTTTTTAAAGCTGGAAATCATATGTTCTTTTTTTTCAGCTTTTTGATTGTTTATTGGTACATTTTAGGGACATGGTACAGTTACATTCATCATTGGGATCTTGTACCTTTACATGACAGGTCTTGGTTCTCATTTTTTCCCCTTGTCCCTGCCCTCCCTTCACCCCCTCTTCCCCTCCCCATCTACAAACACCTTATTTCCATCTTTTCATTATCTCACTTTTTTTCTTTTCCCTTATTACCCTTCCTCTACCCATTCCACCTTCCCTACACCTTTAGCTCCTTTCTTCCCATTTCTCAATATCAGTAATCTTATTAGGATCTTCTGTATTATTGCAGATTATTCACACCAGAGAAACTATTCGGTATTTACACAAGATATTTTATACATAGGGTTAGTGCGTGATGTCATTTTAAAGAAAGAGTAATGTTACTAAAAAAGGAGTCTTATTTCTAATATCTTTTTATCTAAAATGTCATGGGTCACAGAGCCATAGGTCACATCTATGTAGAAATAAAGAGTAATCATGGTTTCAAAGCCAGATTTCCTTGCAAAGTCAAATTTTCACCTTCAGCTAGGCAAGCTTATTGCTGAAAGACGATCCTATCTTCCCAGCACCCTTACCTCAATGGACTGGGATAGCAGAAGTCTTCTTTGGTTCTAGTGAGCACACATTGGTCTTCCTATCTTTGTAACACAGGCCCTAGTTTTCCCATCCATCCCTGGGCAGGACAGTTTGAGCCTCCAGTGGCTCTGATTGCATTCAGGCTTACCTCAAAAATTCTCTGCCTCTCTCTGTTGACTGTAGAATCGAGAGGTCTGGCTTTATATTCTAGCTCTGGAAGAAGGGTTCTGGGGTCAGTGGGGTGGGGTGACCAGTGGATTTTGGAAACAGATCTCTAGCTGCTATGAGGAAAGGGACTTAAAATGTCTGTTCATAGGAGGAGACTTGAGGTGAAGCAGGTACACACTGAGGCTTGGTCCCCCTACGCCACCCCAAACACACACAGTCACTTCTGTTCTGTGGCAGTCCTTAGTGAAGAGTTTTAACTAGTTAGGTCTCTCCATCTTCTCTATTTCTGCATCCACCCCTGCCACCTCTCTGGCTTGTCTTTTTTCCACAGCTGGTTAAAAACCTACAGGCTTCTCCCTGTTGCAGCCCAGTATCCAGGCCCGGCCTCCTAACCAGCTCATTCAACTCTGGCCCTCTAGCTTCGTTCCCCCTACACCAACCAAACCAGAAATCCACGTCCTCAGACACCACATAGCGATCTTAGCACCACAGGCTGGAGAGCAGCAGATCATCACTCCCTGCGAGTCTGATGCTTTACCAGTGGGGAAACTGGGCCCAATGTTTCAGATAGAGTGGCAGCTGTCTTCCAGAGGGCACCCGGGATCACCTTGTCACCGGAGGCCCGTCCTTAGTCAGATCACACAGACAGGCTCCACCGGCCCTC